GTTTCTCTAGAGAAACCAGTCTAACACAGTAACTATCAGTCACTGTGGCACCATAACTACTCTCTGGCACCTAAATATCAACATCACTAAGGCAGAGCCCATAGCGACCCTGTACCCGTGGGTGTCCCAAGCTGGGAATCTTTACGGGAGCAGACAGCCTCGGCTTTCTACTGCAGAGCAGCTGGTGGGTTTGAACTGCGAACACACCGCCAGGGCTCACTATGACTCAGTGGCAATGAGATTGGTTTGGCCAGACAGCATTAAAAATCCCACCCACTAAGCTTCTCTCCAATCTCCTTGGTCATGAGCTCTTTGTGTCCAATCCTGGCACGAAGGCAGGCGCCCTGGTGGCCCAGTGGGTCGCACCATGGGCTGCTAACCACAAGGTCAGCAGTTCCCAAACACCAACTTTTCTGAGAGTGAAAGATGCGGCTTTCTACTCCCATAGAGAGTTACTGTTTCAGAAACCCACGGGGGCAGCTCCAACCTGTCCTGTGGTGTCGTAATGAATTGGCGTTGACTCAACGGTGGGGAGTTTGGGGATGTGGATTGTCCTGCTCATGGGAGGAGGCCACAGAAAAGGCCTTGACAACCAAGGCCAAATAACAAACAAACAAACAACCCCCAAACTGACTTGTTTCCAAACTCATGGCTATGGAGTAGAACCAACCCACATTCAGCGGCTGAGACTTCTCGAGCCCCGCCTTTCTCTTGGAGACCGGCCTTAAACTCACTGCCTTCTGGTGGCATCTGAATCACAGCCACCCAACAGGGCAGAGTAGAACTGCCCCTGTGAGGGTCCCAGGCTAGGACTCTTTACAGGCCCAGAAGCCTCGTCTTTTCTCCAGAGGAGTAGCTGGTGGTTCCAAACTGCTGATCTTGTGATTGGCAGCCTAGCGCATAGTGCGCTACACCACTGACACCATGGATAAGTGAGTCCCAAACACCAGCCCTTTTGATTATCTGCACCCAGAGTATTTTAACCGCTGTGCCACTGGGCCAGCATGATACCTCGCTGGGACCAGCCCCTCTGTGGCTGAATTGATGCCCACTCAGAGCCCCTGGCCTGAGAGAGCCCAAACAAGCAAACCCAAAACAAGCCTTCCCTGGGGCCCTGATACTCCTGGACCGACCCCGTGGGTTTCCAACACTCTAAAGCTCCAGGAAATAGGAAGCCTCATCTTTCTCCCAAGGAGTGGCTGGTGGTTTTGAACTCCTGACCTTTAGGACTCAAGCAAGACAATGTGTAGCCCACTCTGCCTCCCGAGCTCCGGGGAAAGTTTAAAGCATGGGCCAATTTCGTGCTCTCCAGCGGCTTTGGTTGGTTCCCTGCCCCCTTGAGATGTTAAAGGCCCACAGCTGCGAGGTGGGTGGGGGCAGGCAGGGGGGTCATGGGCGCCCACCACATCCGCGCCCTGGGCGTCCCGCTGTCCGTCAGGCAGCTTCAGCTCACCTTTGCCGCTGCAGGGAGGATGTTCTCTCAGGGATGTAGCTGGGTCCCCCGTGGTGGCCGTCGGTGCTGCCTGCGCTGCCTCCCCTGGCCCAGGGCAGAGCTCCGCCGGCCACTGCGGAGCCCCCAAACTGCTGCAGCTTGGAGCTGAGCTCGCTGATGATGCTGGCCTTCACGGTGGCCAAGGCTGAAGCTGGGGGCGGGCCCAGGGGTCCAGGCAGCGGTGGCGGCGGGGGTCCCGGGCCCTCCTCCCAAGGCAATAGCTTCCGCGGCAGCGAGGAGGCAGCCGGCAAAGCCACTGGCGGCCCTTCGGG